AATATATTTATATGTGATTAGAAAAAGTATCTCTATATATAAAAGCCTAAGCGACCGGCTGACCGGCCAACCTTTTGACGGTCTGACCGGTACCTATGACACCCACTGACCACCAGGGGGCAGATGCTCAACACAGGAGCTCCTGAGCTGCAGTGACTTGGCAGCTGCAGTTCTCGGTTGATGCACTCGAAACCAGAGGAGGGGGAGCTCGATTCTGGGGTGCGTCACTCGAGAACTGCCCTCTTGCAATCTGGGACCCCTCAGGGGATGTTGGAGAGCCCATTTCAGCCTGATCAGGCTCAACCGAGAGCCCCACTGGTGCATGAATTCGTGCACTGGGCCTTAATATATATTTCCACCAGTTTTGTTGGGGAGCTCTTCACACTGCCGCCCGGAAGTGGAATTCTCCGTCTCCCTCATTGGTCTTTGGAACTGGATGTGGATGTCCAGCTGGATGCTGATGTTTTAACTCCCACTGCAGGAAGGCTTGTGGATACACACCCCAGTGATTCAAATTTCCTACCTTCTTTAATTAAAAAAAATTATTTTTTTTTTGCTGGACACACATTAATTTTTAGAATAAAACTCATTATCTTGAATTTTAATTTTCTGAGCCCTTTGGGGATACAGAGCACTCATAACCCAGCTAACCCAGAAGGATTGGATCCGTCCTCTCCACCCCACCACAGGGCAGGGAGACAGGGGAAACCAGCTACACCTATTGCCAGCCCTCTCCCTAGCAACCACGCCACCTGGTGGCAACTTTTACGAAGACCACCTGGAGCCTGGATTAGATTCTTGGTCTCTGTCACCCTCCAGCGATGAAACATTGCCGCCTGGTGTTTTGTGACTATGTCATTTGCGATGAAGTGATGTTTGGCCCGGTGACTACGCTCGCCTTTTACAAGGAAGCGGATTTGGGGCTTGTCAGCCGAGGCGCCCGAGTAATGAACCTGCATCCATGCCCACACCCTGGTGGCTGGCATTTCACCTGGCGCGGCTCAGATGGGGCTCATCTGGAGGACATCCAAGGCATGTGCTCCCCAGGTGTCTAGTTCGGTTATTCCTCCCGGGGCAGTGTCCAGAGTAACCTCCATGGGTTCGGACTCCTGCATCTATCTCAGCAGACTTTTGTGGTAATTACGAAGGATATAGAGGAAGCAGCATAGTACAGTCCTCCTCCAGATCTGCTGGCCCGCAATGACAAGATAAAGAAGAAAGGCTGGGTCCTGGCCGCTTTGACTCAGTCGATAGAGCGTGGGCCTTGAGACTGAAGGCAATCGGGTTCCATTCTGGTCAAGGGCACATGCCCAGGTTCCGGGCTTGATCCCAGTAGGGGGTGTGCAGGAGGCAGCTGATCCATGATTCTCTCTCATCATTGATGTTTCTATCTCTCTCTCCCTTTCCCGCCCTCTCTGAGATCAATAAAAATATATCCTTAAAAAAGAAGGAAGAAAAAAAAAAGAAGGAAGGCTGGTTTGGGGCTTCTTTTTAATACCTACATCTTCAAAGGACATAAAGAATCCTTCTTCCTGTTTTGTTAGGGTTCCTCCTATCTCAGACCCGCCCCCCAATCTCATCTTAATAAATATAATACCAATTATTCCCAGCAGACAATTTCCTTCCAGCCTTCTATTGTTGTCAGCGAAAATTGCCTGAACTCAAAGACTCTCACAGTGGCCGCGCCCACAAGGAAGTGAGAAAAAAGACGTTTCAACCCAGAGCAGAAGGCATTGCATTTCTGGGCTTTCCCCTCAATACCTCTACCCACAATTTTCAACAATATGCACCATCCTTGAATTTTTCAATCAGCCTTATTGAGGTGACGTTTATATACAATACCATGCATGATTTCAGAGAGGATGGGAGAGGGAGAGGGAGAAACATCAATGATGAGAGAGAATCATGGATCAGCTATCTCCTGTGTAACCCCTACTGGGGATGGAGCCTGCAACCTAGGCATGTGCCCTGATCAGAAATCAAACCATGACCTCCTGGTTCAAAGGTTGATGCTCAACCACAGAGCCATGCCGGCCTGGCCATGCATGCATTTGAAGGTGGCTGAGTGGTGACTAATATATAAAGTTATTAAATGAAGCCCTAGCACAGCAATTAGAAATTTTAACAACAGTTTTGCTCAGCACGTCCTGCATGTTCCCTTTTTCCTCTCAGATAAATACCAACGTCTGACTGTGCGTTGAGAACAGATCCCAGGAGTGACCATAGCCAACGGTTCATGGAGAACGATGGTGTCAGGAGGAGGAAATATTGACAGAAAATAAAAGTGACCCCTGACCCCGGACGAGGACAGCCCACGAGGGCTTCCTCCCCCCCTGCCCAGCCCTGGGGAAGGGCCCCTTTCTCCTCGGGGCCCTGGGTCCACGGGAAGGAGGCCTCCCGCCACCAGGAGTGAATCCCACACCAGACAGAACCCCAGTCCCGCACAGAAGGGGACGCGCCCCCACGGGGCTGTCCCTGCTCTGGCCCTGACCTGAGCCCTGACCCTGGTCTAAGAGTTGGTGCAGGAGCCGCCACTTGAGTTCTGACCACGGACCAGCCCAGGGAGCTGTGGTCAGACTCCCCCTGAGGATGCCGAGTAGAGACTGAAGGTGCCCCAAGGTGAGGGGAGGCCATACAGGGGACCCTGGCCTGGCCCTAGGGCAGGGGCAGTGGGCAGAGCAGTGGGAAGGCAGAGGTGGCCTCTCATGGGTTCTGGCCCCCATGTCACTCAATGGTATGTCTGGGCCTGGACACTAGAGGGCGCTGGGGGTTTGCTCCTGAGG